TTCATCTCTAAGATGTGATCACACATAGACCTTGCTTGCCATTAGGGTTTAGTGACCTTGAACCTGTGGGTTAGGGAGAATAGAATAATGGAGGAGGGTGGAGGAAAGAAAGTAGACTTCCATGAGCCAAAACTCGGGAAGTCATATTCATTAGGAAAGCTTGGTTTGGGAAGATCATTGTTGTCTAAACCAGACATCAACAATGGGAGAAAGAAATTCACGTAAAGTTGATTTAAGTCCTTAATATAGCACCCAATATGATATATTAAGGCTAGGACCCAACAAACTATTTTATAACTTGGAAGAGGGATGTCGTAATCCAAGCTATAAAATATTTGAAGGTAGGTGAATGACGATTCCCCAATTTCCACCAAGATAAACGAAATGTATTATTAGGTTTTAATTGGTTTTGAAACTCCTAGATTCTTTGAGATTCATTGAACTTTTCAATGACATGTTTCAATCTCGAGTGTGCCCTTCAGGTTTTGTGACTGGGATGCCGAGGATCACAAAACAAGGTGTGAGAGTACCATGTAAATATACTTGGTACCCTTAATATTTACCCTCAATCGATGTGCCGGTTACCACACACGCTCCAACGATACTATGATAAACATTAAGTTACCTTTGCCTACCTTTTAAGTCCAGGTTAGTGTGCCGGTTAACCACACAAGCTCCACTAACAGCTTAAACAAAGTGCAAAGTGTAATTTCATGGATTAGCACCTTATTACAATTTTCCTAAGTAACTAAGATTGGGAATTTATAAGTGTTTAGTTACTTAGTATTTATATCATTATACTTATAATGAAGGGAGAATTATAGTCCTTGTCTTACTGTTCGGCTAACGACCCTCCACCCAGTCAAGGAAGCGGTGAGTGAGAGTGGACACCCATTAAACTGCCATTTTTATAGGCAGTAACCTTATACCTCCCTTATAGACCGGCTTCGTGAATGAGTCCTACTAATGGTAAGACGACTTTATCTTATACATATCTATATAAATAAAATTATAATAATAGTATAAGGGTTGAATTTTAAACTTTTAAAATTCTAAGGTCTAGTTTGGAATTAAAAAGTATACATGGGGGGTAACTTTACAAATTCCAAAACTTGAGGACAAGTTTTGAAACCTTTCAAAACTCTTGGATTTTTCATAACTTATGAGTTTAATTAGGTTTAATGAAAAAAAAATTCAAGTTCCATAACTTGAGGACAAGTTATGGAAGACATTAAATCATTTAATGATGACATTAAAAATAGTGACTCTTCTCTTTTCATAACCTATGAGACTTAATGACACATAAAAAGAAAAACTCTTCACTTTCCATAACTTGAGGACAATATGGAGTTCATAAAAAACCATTAAGATCAAATATTCCAATTAACACAATAATCAAATAATTTTTCTATGATCTAGATTAAACTCATAAGTAAAGATAATTCACATCAACAATTTTCAAGAAATTAGATAATCATATAAAAACTAATACCAAATCTTGAAACTTTGACAATTATCCTTTGAAGACTCTTGGAATTCATAACCTAAAGAGTTAATAAATGAGACATTTCACATCCATAACTTATGGAAGTTTTCAAAACTCTTAAGATCATAACTTTAAAAAAACTTTTGAGTTCCAAAATTTTATGACAAAATTTGTAACTCCTTAAAAACCATTTAGATCAAACTTTTAAAACAAATAAAATAATCATATCATTCTATCTTTTAATAAATTGACCTAATTCAACTCTTGTAGTAAAGTGACTCAAATTTTTAAATAATTAGTTTTTCTAAAATCAAGTAATTATCATAAAATTTGATAAACTTCATGTTTTTTTTTCTTTTTTTTCCTCAACTTGAAAAAAAAAATCCATTTGCATCAAATATAAAGAAACACAACCCATGGCTCTGATACCACTGTTGGGTTTTAGTATACTACAACATCTCTATGGTGCACATACAACCCTAAACACCTTGGATCTATGTTTTCTCTATATATATGCAAATGGTTTCCAAGGCTTATTAACCTATACTAGCATGCATTTGACATAAACCATATAATATACTAGTTAGGGAAACATCCTTTTATGTGGCTTGAAGTCTTGATGTATTTGGCCTTAAGAGCTTATCACCATAGTATGAAATGCCTCAAATGGAATCACAATACACCTAGGACAAAGGTGGCTCTTGAGAGAGAATTCCATGCACCAAAACACCTCCATATTTCTCTAAGAAAAGAAGTGGTGATTTTGGCTATGGAGTAACCTATTTATATGTAGGATTCCAAGGGTCATGGGTATAACCCATAATCCATACCCATGGGTTTTATGATCCATGGTTCATGTGGCCCAACTCTTTATGTATCCATACATAAACTTGGTCCAACATGGATCATAAGCCCAACACATATAAATATAACTAATTATCATAATTAGTCCCCATAGATTTAATTAGTCTCTTTTGATCACTAAATTAATTCCAAATTAATTCTTGATCGATACTAATTAAAAACATATGATTCAAATTAATATATTATAACTTATATATATTAATAAACCATAAATAACCTTCTCTCAAAAGTCCATCCTAACAAATTGTCTTGATGATATGCAACCCCAAATAGACCATGCTACTCTCGGGTCAAGTACATACCAATTATAGTTATGGGCTTAGACATCTAATCCAACATCTTACACTCTGTTAAGCCTTGTTATGAATGTTATACGCTCCCGAGGGGGTATGGAATAATGTTTTATCGAGTAGATTCATCATTTACCCTGATTAGGGTTTAGAATTTCCGAACACGTGAAAACTCTAAGTGATACTTTGCATTAAGATTGCGAGTAGTACAATAAGAATCCTATGGAAAACCCTAATATACAAGGGTTAGATGAGTTGACCGGTTTGACTGGTTGACTTTGGTTGACTTTGACTTGACCAAAAATTGACGGTTGTCACATAAAGACATGTCCACAAAACATATATCTGACCTCCCTGAGCTGGATTATCATGTAAAGTTGCCAACTTTACGTCCATATATGACGAAATGAAGCTCTTAAGCTAAAAAGGGACTTAATAGGGGACTTGAAGCATGCATGACACCATTCCTCACATAAAGCTTGCACCTTTATGCTCAAGGATACCAAAAAAACCTAGATCCGAAAGAACAAGCCCTTAAACAACTCAACTCATCCAAAGACCCAAAGGAGACCAAAATCATAATAAACTAGCCATGAAGAGATCTAATCATACACAATCCAAGATGCACACTTGATACCTCAAAGAGACTGCAAGAAGTGGAGAGATTTTGGACCTATGATCTTCCTTCCACGCTAAGCACCTTCAATCTTCAAAGCTTCCTTTGGAAATGAGCAAAATAATCACAAGAATCCACTCAAGGCTCAAGAACACCACCAAGAAAGCTTAAGGGACGAATTAGGGTTTAAGTGGCAATGGAGGCTGGTAAGGAGACCAGCCCTTGGGGCTTAAAGAAATTATATATGGTGCAATTGAGGGTTTCCTTCCCAGCTGCCAACACGTCGTGTTTAGACACCAACACAACGTGTTGGTCTTAATGAAAATCGCGCTTGTCCTTAACTAGACACGTCGTGTCCAACCCTCAAAATGGGATTCATTCCTTACAATTGCTCCTCAAGATTCCGGGTGTTACATGAGGGCCGGGAAGGGCAATCGAGACTTATGTTGTGGGCTTGGGAGCATTCCAGTCTTAGGTTGTGGGCCCAGGGGCAATCCAGTCTTAAGTTGTGGGCTCAATGGGCAATCCAATCTTCGTGTTGTGGGCCCGGGGGTAATCAATTCTTCGTGTCGTGGGCCCGGGGACAATCCAGTCTTCGTGTTGTGGTCCCGAAGGCAATCCAGTCTTTGTGACTGTGGTCCCGGGGGCAATCAAGTCTTTATGGTTGTGGGCCCAGTGTGCATGCATTGTATATGTATTGTTGTGTGGGGTATTTTGGGGGAAACTCGCTAAGTTTTGGCTTACAGTTGTATATTTTAATGATTTTTAGGTACTTATCGGATTGCGAAGGCGGGACCGTACAAACGCACATCAACGGTTTTATAATTTGAGATTTCACATTGTTTTCCCCATAACTTTGATGTTGAGTTAACCACTTGGGTTGTGGTGACTTGGTAAGGCATGTGGAAGATATGGTGGATAACCTATTGACCCATGTTCAAATCCTGACACCACTCAGCCCTTGTGGCCATGGAGGTTCGTCTGCAGTGACTCCAGGGCATGAGGCAAAACTTCATGTTTGCAGCGGGGGATTAGTCGGTGAGCGAAAGCTGGCCCGGAAACCCTCGTTAGGGAAGTTCCCTTTCCTAACTTTGATGTTGAGTTATGGTTATGAACAAATGGTTTGACTTTGATGTAACTTTATAAAAATAAGTGTTTATTCTATTTTAGAAATTGAAAATATTTATTCTGGAATTTGACATGTTACAAAAAATTTAATTATTTTTATAACCATGATTCACACGGGCTATAAGCTTGTAACCTTGTATATATGAAAAAAGTATAAAGTGGAAGATTAATGTTCCTAAGATAAATCTATCAAATCCGCGTTATTTGGGTTTTGTTTGGGTTATTTTTTCTTATTATATATTAGATATGACTTATAATTAAAAGCATGGTTAAAAAAAAGATTAAAAACAATCTATACGTATTTTAAAAATAACGAGGATAATTTAATAATTATACAATTTTGTTATTTCATTGTCCTTGTCATATCAAACGCATTGCAAATAATTTGTTGAGTTCGGTTCAATTCACTTTTGTCCAAACCTATTGAGTTCAATTGTGACCGATCCAATCTTGTCCAAGTCTATCTTAATGCTAAATAACCATTCCAAATATATTTTTCATTTTTTCAAAACTTAAATAATTCGTTGTTTCAATTCCAAAGTCCTGGTAAATTGGAAGCAAACTTTTACATGTAATACCCCTTCTCGACTGTGCTTACGACAATAACCAGGAGAAAATGGCCGCCACGGATGCAACATCCACCGCCGACGATTTCGAAGAAGAAAGCATCAGCAAATGGGAATCCCTCCGCCTCAAAACCCTAGCCGAGCAAAGTTACAGTTCCTCCGACCTCAAATTAGCTATCAAGCACGCCAAGCGCGCACACCGTCTATGCCCCACCCTCGACGGCGTCTCGGAAATGCTAACCGCCTTCAAAATACTCAGCGCCGCCGAAAATACCACAGAAACTACTGGAACGCCTGATTGGTACAAGATTTTCGAAGTAGAACCTTTTTCTGACATCAATTTAATTAAGAAACAGTATAAAAAACTAGCCCTAATTTTGCATCCTGACAAGAACAAGTTTGTCGCCTCCGAAGAGGCCTTTAAGTTGGTAAACGAAGCGTTTAGTGTTCTGTCTGACAAGATTAGGAGGAAAGAGTATGATATGAAGCTTAGAATCGCAATACCAGACCGAGGCAGAGGCGGAGGCGGGAGTGGATCCCGGAGGTGATGCTATGACACTAGACACTTTTTGGACAGCGTGTTCAACTTGTAGGCTGTTGCATCAGTTTGAAAGGAAGTATTTGGGGCAGAATCTGATGTGCCCTAGTTGTAAGAAGAGTTTCAAAGCCGTGGAGGTGGATGATGGTAAGAAAGGGTATACAAAAGTGGAGGTTGATGAAACGGAAAACATTGATACTAGTGAAAGTGATAAGGTCTCAACTCGAAGCGAATCGAAGAGGAAAATGAGTAGTGTTGGAGAGATCATGAAGAGGTCTGAGCAATCAAAAAAGATTGAAAGGTCAAAAACGGAAGATGGTGGTAAGCATTCAAGAGTTGTGAATAATACATTGAAGGAGAAGGGGAAGAGAAAGAATGACAGTGATGAAGAAGAAATGATGACATTAGCTCAAATGCAGAAATTAGTGAAAACAAATGTGAACGATGGTAAATCGAAAGTAAATAAGGTACAAAGAAGTGGATCAAAGAGGGAAAATTCAAGAAACGAGACAAAGGGAGAAGAGAAGAACCAGGATCTTGAGATAATGACAGTAGAAGACTCAGACTTTTATGATTTTGATAAAGGAAGAGTAGAAAAGAGTTTCAAGAAAGGACAAATATGGGGTTTATATGATGATGATGATGGAATGCCAAGGCATTATGGTTTAATTAATGAAGTGGTGTCAACACATCCATTTGAGGTGGACATGTCTTGGTTGGACCCCCAAGGCAATGGTGATGAAGGGTTAGTTAATTTGGAAAGGACTGGATTTCATGTATCTTGTGGAAGGTTTAAGGTTTCCAAGAAAACTTTAGTTAGATCACTTAATGTGTTTTCACATATTGTGGATTGTGAAAGAGCAGCAAGAGAGGTTTACAGGATTTATCCTAAGAAGGGTTCAGTGTGGGCACTTTATAATGAGACAAAAGATAAAAGATGTTATGATATAGTTGTGTTTTTGACAAGTTATAGTGAGGTACATGGATTGAGCATGGGGTACCTTGAAAAGGTGAATGGGTTTAAAACAATTTTCAGGAGAAGAGAGATTGGGTTTCGTGCTATCAGATGGCTTGAAAAACATGATGCTCGGTTGTTTTCACATCAGATTCCAGCAAGGAAGCTTTCTGGGGAAGAGGTGAAAGATCTTTCAGGAGATTGTTGGGAGTTAGATCCTGCCTCACTTCCTACTGATTTACTCACTATTGGTTGACAGAAATAGTGTTTGGTTTTCCACAATTGATTAACTTTTGTATGTACAGTTAGTCTCTATTAGTTCATATTCGGTTCTTCAGATGGAATAAGGCATGGAGCAGAGGTAAATTTTTTTTCCCTTTAATGTCCAGTTATCAATTGGATTACTGCATTTGTTTGCAAATCATGCATCAAATGGATAGAAAATCTGTGTTTCTACTTATGATAAGCTTAAACTACATATTCTCATTTCAGTTACGTACTTACATTAGGCTTTCTATGTTTTGTCTCCTTGGCTAGTGCATTTATAATCTTTAACATACAATGAACACAGCTATGTTGCAATAATGCCCAAAACTTTGGACCTTATATTGTGCATCACATATTTCACATCAGCAAATACTCATTGATCTTAAAGCTAGTTTTTTGAATGTGTGTGTGTTTGGTTTGTCCTTTGAATAAGTGGGGAATGAATAATCTATTCACAACCTGCTGTATCTTAGCTTATGTGCTTCTGTTGGATGGGAGAACTTAAGGTAGTGTTTGGTACGATGGAATTGGGTAAGGGATGAAAAAAAGAAGTTTGTTTTGTCTGAAGAAATGGAATGGATCATTCTTAAAGGAATGCTATTTCCTTCCATTTTGTTAATTTTTATTCCTTAGCCGGCTTTTTTTTTCTTCCACTCCATCATGAGATGGAATAACATGTGCAATATAACCCATTTTTATTTACAATTACAACAATACCCAAATCTCATAAAAGACCTTTGGCGAGAAGTTATGTGCACCAGACAATGGTTGATAGCAAGGGGGGATGGGGGAGGAGTTAAAGAGAGTTATAGTAGCGAAAGAGCTAATAGTAAAAAGTGGAATAAATAAGAAAAATATTGCACTTAGAAGCTCAAAGATAAACCTCGACCCCCTCTTATATGAGATAATGTCTTTGATTCATGTCTAACCTAAATCTATCTTTAGACTCTCTTCTTGAGTGGTTCTTCTCATCGTCCTTCATCAAGGTGAAGATGTAGGGCCTATGTGTCGAACTTTGATGGAGCTCAATTCCAACAAGGAACCTACTGTAGATTCAGACACATATAATAGACCGACAATACATGTTACTTATAGCCATAACATAACATAACATTTTGAGACCTGACGTTTTGCTCCACGTTTTGCTCCAGAGTCTAATTTAACAACAAAAGGAGAAGGAAGTGGTAAATAATTATGAAAAGATCATTGCTCCTGAGTTTATTTATTGGAAAGAAACGGAGAGAAAGGGAGGAAGATCATTGCTAATCTTTCCCTCCCAAATTGTCCTCCTAAATCGGGACGAATAGGAGAGAATATATGATTGATGATACAAATCTTAGAATTTTACCCAAATACCCTTGAAACTAGTATAAATCAAGGTTCTAAAAAGCTCGCCATGGCTCCAAGGCTTATATGTGCCGCCAAACTTTACCAAAACGCCGTCTTGACTTATATATGTATATAAAAATAAATAATAGTTTAAATACATATAAAAATATGAATTATATACAAAATTGCCGCCTTAAGTCACGCCTTACAAACGACATGGCTCGCCAAGGCTCGGAAAAGTTTGAGGCTTGACATTGCCGCCAAGTCAAGCCTTACGTTATTTATAACCTTGGTATAAATACATCAAGATATCAATGTAAATCAACGATAGCAAGGATTCTTATGGTGGATTACACCTTTGACGCCTCAATATGTACTCTTCTTTACCATAGTTCTTCACATGTGTGTGTGTGTGTGTGTATATATATATATATATATATATATAGATATATATAGATAGAGAGAGAGAGAGAAGAGAGAGAGAGAGAGAGAGAGATTCTATGGAAAACAAAAAACCTTAAAAAAAACCCTAAAAATCATAAAATGCATGAAAAAAATACTTAGAGATCACAAATATTTTTTTTGACTTTATATTCTTAAAAATCGCAATTTTTTATATAATTTCGCTGAATTTTTTTTTGAAAAAAAAACAAAAAAATAAAAAAAAATATGAAAAATAAAAAAAATCGGTTTTTTAATTTTTTTCCAGCGAATTTATAAAAAATCCTGCGATTTTTAATAATATAAAGTCAAAAAAAAATTTGTGATCTCTAAGTAGTTTTTTTATGCATTTTTTTTTTATGATTTTTAGGGTTTTTAAGGGTTTTTTTTTGTTTCCCCCTATAGCCCTTCCATAAGATATATGATATATATATATAATAGATTAGTATATATATATATTAATATATAATATAGGGATAATTCATATATACCCTTATTAAACATCAAAATATCATATTTGTCCAGCCTAATTTCTAAATATCATATTTACACTTATTAACCTTTCAAAATATCATAAATGCCCAAATTTATTTTTTAGTATTTAATAATCTATCTTTTATATTTTAAAATCAGTATAATTATAATAAAAACTTACTTGACCGTAATGCCCCTGCCTCATATATCATTCTTTTAATTTTGCATATTCATGGCTGATTCTCTTTAATCCTCACATTACCCACTAATTACAAATCTTCTTTTTTTCATTACGTACAACTTACAATCCATAAACGATTCAGATTAGACATATTTTGGTGGGGTTTTTTTGGAGGCCATTGATTTATATAAAGCTTTCAAAGGTACATGCTTTAATTACTCAAGTCAAACTGCACTGTTTCTTTGCATCGTTGAATTGATTCCATTTGAATGATGACATGATCAAAATATGATTTTGACGGACAACCTTTATTGTAGTTCCTGATTCTATCTTAGAACGTAATTGTTTGGATTCAATATTGACCTAGTTTATCAATTTCACTTTTGTTAACTTAATCAAAATCTGGATGTGATACTGTGTCATTGATTAATATGATTGCTCGTCTAGATGCAACGCAAAAGGGCGCATATCCAACATGAATTTCGGTCGATGTATTATGATTATATTCTTAACTGCTTGTCTTTTGAACTTAGTGGAAATTTAGAGCCTTAGAGGAACAGAGGTTGATTCAACTTTCGATACTAAAATATGATAGTTATTAAATTTCAAACTTGATGAGAATAATCTAGTTATGCACATGGATTATGGACAATTGGATATTACCCTTCGATCTTGTAGGCAATATAAATTGAAATAAAAAGACAAAAGTATCAAAGTGAATACTAAATTTTTATTTATGTCACAAATGGCAATTTTGCTTTGGATGTACGATCTAGCAGGAAGAGATGCACCTAAGTTGTAGTATTGAAGAAAAAGATTGGTTATTGGGTACTTTGAGGGTTACATCGAAGCATCCAAAGCCATGGATGTGCATAATTTGGCGTGAAACAGTAGAGATACTCAAATTCCATCCATATAAGAGTTAGGGGCATTATGGTCAAGCAGGTTTTTTTATAATTATCATGATTTTACAATATAAAAGATGATTATTAAATATTAAAAATAATGAGTTGGGCAAATATGATATTTTGACAGGTTAATAAAGATAAATATGATATTTAGAAATTAGGCTGGACAAATACGATATTTTGATGATTAACAAGGGTATATACGAAATTTTCCCATATATATATATATATATATATATATATATATATATTATATTATTGTGTTATTGTATGCATAAATGTGGGCCAATAATTTTACTTATTTTAAGAAAGTGATTAATACATATTATTGAATTAAAAATAATTGAAAAATACCATCCAAATTAACTAGAAGGGTATTTTAGTCAATTAATATATATTTAATAAAGGAAATTTGCATATTTTAAGGGATCATAGATTCTATTAATTTTAAAAATCTGATTTTTACTAATTATAAGGTTTTTAATTCGGACATTCTGACAGAATATGTTTGAGTATGTTCAAAAATAATAATATTCTAGAACAATAAAATAATAAAAATATTCTTGAACATATTTCTTGATCATGACTTTATAAATTTCTTATAGAATAACAAATTCTCGAACCAGCAATTGAAGAATCAAAACAAAAATTACATTAATTCTTATAGAATACATGTAACAATTGTTAAGAATTACATTTATTGTTAAAGAATAAAACTAAAAAACTTTCAAACCGGGGAAAAAAAACAAAATCTAACAAATACACTAATTCATTTTAAAAGAATAATGTTGCTAAGAAACACTTTTAATTTTGTTGTCCGTTCTTCAAGCATCAACTTCTTCAAGCATCAACTTCTGTGAAAACAAATCCAATTATAGTTTAGAATCCAATAACGCATTAGCAAATGATAAATAAAAAACTATATATCTTTGGAAAAATATGCGGACTTGTTAACTGCACAAAAACCAATAACCAAAAATTGTAGAACATGTATAATCAATGAGAAAAAATCCATATTCCATTCCAACAGAATTAGAATTCGTGTTTCCATTCCGATAGAATTTGAATTCGTGATTCTATTCTGATAGAATTAGAATTCATATCACTTCTTCGGTCACATTCATACATACTTTGCCTTTTGAAATCAGGAATCAACAAAACAAATTCGTGATTCTATTCCGATAGAATGTTATAAGTAGTAAAACAGGCAAAAAAGCAGAGTCTTCATACAAGCTTATTTGAGTCAGAAACCTCACAAAAATAAGCTTACCACATAAATCGTTGATCCTTTTGGCCATTTCCTTTACATCTTTTTCAGCTTTCTTGATGCTTGTGGAATATGGCCCCAATCCCTGCATAAGTCTTCATCAATTCAGTCGCGATAAACAGAACATTTCAACCAACACAAACTATCAACTCAAACGTTTCTCTATAATGTCCATGAACTCTAGTAAAATGCAAGATAAAGATCAAACTATCCTAAGTTCCTAACAGCTGAAGGCATTTAAAAATCAATTTTAAATCAAATTGTATTAAATCGCAGCAATTCATCAGCGCACAAAGCTAATCTTTCAAATCCTCAGTGGATACTACCTTTTCCTTGATTTGATGTACAAAACCATTATGTAAAAAGTTAAATTTTAAAACAGCAAAGCC